AATGTTCTTTATCAAGTTGAAGAAGTTCCCTTCTCAGTTTTGAGAGTATGTTTCATGAATGGGTGTTGGATTTTGTTGGATTTTTCTACATTAATTGATATGACTTGGTGATTTTTTTTCTTTAGCTTATTAACCTGGTGAATTATATTTAGTGTTTGGATATTGAATGTGCCTTGTATTCCTGCAATAAACCATTTGGTCATGGTAGAAAATTATCTTCATATATTGCTGACTTAGATTTGCTAATATTTGGTTAAGGACTTTTACATCTGTATTCATGAGATATATTGCTTTGTGGTTTCCTTTTTTTTTTTAATTTTTTTTTAACGTTTATTTATTTTTGAGACAGAGAGAGACAGAGCATGAACAGGGGAGGGTCAGAGAGAGAGGGAGACACAGAATCTGAAACACGCTCCAGGCTCTGAGCTGTCAGCACAGAGCCTGACGCGGGGCTCGAACTCACGGACCGTGAGATCATGACCTGAGCCGAAGTCGGCCGCATAACCGACTGAGCCACCCAGGCGCCCCTGTGGTTTCCTTTTTTGTACTGTCTTTGTTTTCTGGTATCAGGGTAATACTACCTTCATAAAATGAATTGAGACATGTTCCTTCCTATTCAATTTTCTGAAATAGATTATGTGGAATTGCTGTTCATTCTTTAAACATTTGGTAGAATTCTCCAATGAAACCATCTGGGACTAGATCTTTCTTTTTTAGGAGTTTTGTTGTTGTTTATTTTGAGAGAGAGTGAGCATGCGTAGAGAAAGGGAAGGAGAGAGAGAATCCGAGAGAGGCTTTGTGCTCCCAGGATCCCAGAGCAGAACCAAATATGGGGCTTGAACTCAGGAATAGTGAGATCATGACCTGAGCCCAAATCAAGAGTCAGCCGCTTAACCAACTGAGCCACCCAGGTGCCCCTCAGGACTTTTTAAGTTACAAATTCAATTTCCTTAATAGATACAGTGCTATCCAAATTATCTATTTCATTTTGGGTGAATTGTGACAGGCTGTTTTAAGGAATTGCTCCATTTCATCAAGGTTGTAAAATTTATGTGTGTAGCTTTGTTCATAGTATTCTCTCATCTTTTTGATCATGGTCTTTAATAACATCACCTATTTCATCTTGTCCAGAAGCAGAAGTCATCTCCTTGGCATTTCGAAGGTGCAGTCCCCAAATTTTGCCTAAGTTATATGTTCCCGTCTCCCTGTTTCCCTTCAGTCTTTCTGGCTGATCCTTACCTGATGGGTCTTCTGACTGGGGGTTATATCAGACTCTCTTTACCACATTCCTCCTGATCACACTTACCCTCACAAGTCCTGTTTCTCTCTGTATGCTGACCTCTACCTTCAAGCTAGACTAGAACCCCAAGTTCTAAGACCCGTGTCTCCATGTCCACCCTGCATTGCTTCCTTGAACGTGTCACAGGCACATTAAATACAACCCATCCAAACACTGAGCTCATCATCCTCTCCCTAGACCTGCTGCCCCTCCAGAATGGAGGACCCCTGTCGCCATAATGGCACTGCCACTTACCAGCCAGAAACCTAGGAGTTGGCCTGAGACCTTCTTCCGCCTTCACTTCCACTTCGTGTCATCATCAGGAGCTGTCTGTTCTACCTTCTAAACATGTCTGGATTCTCACGGTCTCTGCCACACACCAAGCCACCTGCCCCACTGCACTCATTTGCCTTGGAGGAGTGGCCAGAGCAAAAGTTCTCAAATGCAAGTCTAACCGTGTGTGACATGTCCTGTGTGCTTAGATAAGGCTCAGACTCCTTCGTGGGACGAGTAAAGCCCTTGATGATCTGGTCCTTGATTAAGTCTTGGGCATCTTGCCCAGACCACTTAATATGTCTTCATATGCCAGAGGCCTACAGAGCCGGATTGTAACTGCCTGTGTAATTAAAACAGCTCTACACGAGAATGCCTGTTCTCTGATGCTGGAGGTTATGCCTCCCGCTATCCTGCCCTAGGCCCAGCACAATGCGTGTGAAGACAGGGCTGCTTGAGAATGGCAGTAAAGGACTGCACTTGGGGTCAAAAATGCTGGTTCCACTACTCACACTGTGTCACCTTGAGCAAAACACTTCCGCCTCGGGTTTCCTATATGTAAAATGGGTGCAATCATCCCTCCTCTTCTCTGTGATATGTCAGAATCAGAAGACAAAAATATTCGTTGTTGTGAACCAGCAGGCCATCATTTGGTCTCCACCACACTTTGCCCAACAATCAGAACGGTGCCTGGCCTAGAAGCAGGGCCCGACGCAGGTGAAGCCAGCGAGGCGCCTAGGGCACAAAATTTCAGGAAACCCTCCCTTGTCGTTTTCGTGCAGTTGCAGGGCGCGCTGACGAGGAGTGTCCGCCCGGGGTGGGGGGAGGGGGAGCGGAACGGAGGCGGTCGGCCTCACCTGCGTCGTCGGGACCTGCCCAGATGCCTGAAGGAACCCGTGAAAGACAAGCTGCCCTCTAGCGCTAGGCCCGCCCCCTCCGTGGCTTGGCTTCCGGGTCGGAATGAGGCGCCCTTCTATTGGCTGTTGTTCTCTGGCGTCACTAGGCAGCGCCCGCTTGTGCAAAAGTCTTACTTAGTGAAGCAGCCTGGCGTGTTGTCCCCGCAGTTCCCCGCCGGTCGCTGTTTCCGAAACGCGCTGCAGGTGTCTAGGCGCCCGCTGACCTCGGCCCCCAGCTCGGTGAGCCCTAGCCCGACAACTCAGGGAGCCCGGCAAGACCCGCCGCCGCGGCCAGGTAGGTTGGGGTGGGGGGCGGGCCGGTCTCAGCCTCCCTCCAGGTCTCCCGCTGGGGTCAGGACTGGACCGGGCCCCCCCATCCCTCTGACCACACGGGTGGGGTGGGCCGTCGTGAGTGCCCGCTGAGTACCAGGGACCAAGCTGGGGGACTGGTTCAGGGTGCCGAGCGAGTGGGTGGCGGGACGGGGCCCGCGTCTCTCAGGCTGTGATGCGTGTGCTGTTTCTGCCTCGAATCTCTGCCTCTTTGCTTAAGGACACTTTTCCAGAGTTGAACTGAGCTCGTGCCCTGTTGCACCGTGATTACCGCAGAAGCACGGGGGCCACTTTCTAACTGGTACTTTGGCAGATGATTTCTTTACGCCTCAGTGTCCCCTTTTGTAAAATGGGACCTTGTGCCTGAGGGGATTGCTGTAGGGTGGAATGAGAGCCTGAATATGCCTGTCATGTGGGAAGGTCATAGTCAGTGGGGCCTGGGGTTGTCTTGGAGAGCAGATGACCAGCCTTATTCCTGAAGCAGCAGCCAGAATGTGACCCAAGTTTTCCCTGGCTGATAGCAGACAGGGTGTCCATGGGGCTCTAGGAGATCTGTTGGCGATCTAACCCCCACCCATCTCTAGGACACTTTAGCCCAAGCCAAGAATTTCAATGTCACCTGGACTTGGATTCAAGTCCCAGCTATTTTCTCTCCCTGGGAACTTGGGAAAACCCCTTCATCTTACTAAGCCTTCGTTTTTTCATTTGTAAAATGGGGCTAACAGTACCTATCTTCCATAACTGTCAAGAGAATTAAATCAGATATTATAGGTAAAGCACTTAACACCTGGCATTCAGTGGGAGCGGTTACTGTTTTTTCAGTGTGTGGAGATCTGAGTGCATGCATTTTGGCTTGAACACATTTTTGACAGTAGCATGGTTGTATAAGACAGGAGGGCAGAAGTTTCAAAGCTCCTTGTTTTCTGGTCAAACTTATTGGCCATGACAGTAGTCAGATCAGTGACCTAGGTCTAATGAATCTTTAACTGAAGGTGGCAAATTGAGTCATCAGGGTGAGGACCAGGAGTCTGGGTCCACCTCCACATGACTGAGCATAAAGGGCTACTTTTTAAAGCAAGGGCCCATGCAGGGCAGAGACTGTTTGGAATGAAGGCCAGACTTAGATTAAAAATAAAACAGGAGAATGGGGTTTGCCTCTGAGTAAAGCCTGGAACTCAAAACAGGACCTGAGCCCTGTTGATACCTTCTAAGTGATTTGAGAAAGGAAGACATAGCCATATTGACAATCACCAAGCTTTCCCAAGTAGTGAAAAGTCAAGCCCCTGCTTCTGGCATTTGTTCATTCAACAGAGAGCAGTGTAGAGCCTTCTGTGTGCCAGTCACAATGCTATGAAAAAGCAGTGAAAAGGACAGATGTAGTCTTAGAACCCAGAGAGGAGACAGCCCAATGATGCCTGTCAGGCTTTGACCCTGCCCTTTGTCTGCAGTCTCTTCCCTCAGGTAGCCTGTACTTCAGCAGGAGAAACTAAATAATTACTGTCTGGAGAGGCTCATGGGAGTTGCTTCTAGAAGGCTGGGATAGCCTGGTAGGGGGTTTAGCTTGGTAATGTGAGCAGTGGAAAGCATTTTCACTAGGAGGCTAATAGGATCAAACTGGCATTTAAAAATTTGCCTATGACAGCTGTGAAGCCAGTTTTACCAGTGGTCACTTGCCCATGCTGTGCCCCACTCTTAACTAATTTCTAGTCCTGCTTATTTTAAGGCCAGCCCAGCTCAGCTCAGTATCACTTCAAGAAACCAGACAAAGGCAGGACCCTTGGTCTTTACAACAGTGGTCCCAATTGCTGGATCTTACTTACAAGGTCATTGTTAATATCCATCTCCCCTGACAGCAGGACGGCAGGAATGAATGTGTCTGATCTATACTGTTTGTCCAGTGCCTCAGAGATGTGCCAGGTACAGTGTAAACCTCTAGAAAGCACTGGTTGAAGGAACACTGGAATCCCTCCTATCTAGATTAGTGCCTGGCATGAAGTAGGCACTCTTCTAGAAATGCTTCATTACATGCATTGAATTGAGAAAAAAAAAAAACAGTCACCTTATAAAATGTAACAGTGAAATAACTAATAAATGCAGACTACTTCTAGGAATGGCTGGTGGGCAAAAGGGCTTGGGCTGCAGCTCAGGGAACTTTGTGGATCTTGATGGTGGTTTTAGCTCCCTCTGTCCCCTAGGACCTAATTTTTTCTTCACAGGTTCTGATGCTGGTCTCTTGTAGAAGGTTGCTCACAGCTTTGCTGCAGGCTCAGAAGTGGCCCTTTCAACCCTCCAGAAATATGAGACTGGTGCAGTTCCAGGCACCCCACCTGATGGGACCTCACCTGGGCCTGGAATCAGGGAATGGCGGGGGGGTCATTAACCTCAATGCCTTTGACCCCACACTGCCCAAGACAATGATGGAGTTCCTGGAGCAGGGAGAGGCCACTCTCTCGGTGGCAAGAAGGTAAATCAACAGGCAGCATAGCCCTACAATGGCTGTCCTGCTACCCTCTTTCTCGTTCCACCCATTCCTGCCCTGGGAAACAACCAGCTAGTAACTTTTTTGCAAGTGAGCAGGGTAACTCTACCTTTCCTTTCTCACCTGTTCTCTTAGTGAAGAGTCTTAGAAATCTTGTATGACAACATCCTCAGGCCCAGGGATGGTGATTAACTATCCCAAAGCCACACATTTGGTGGTGGAGCCAGAACTGCTTCATCACACTTGCCTTCCCCAGGGTATTAAGTTCCTGGCTGCCTGAGGAGTCTGGGACCTGGGAGTGGGGGAGGGAGGGGAGAGAAGGTCTGGACTCTTGGCTCCTTGAAGGAGAGAGGACTGCAAAGAGGTGTTCTTAAAGATAGTTCTTGGGTTTGGGCTAGATTAGGTAGGGACTTCCCCAAAGCCAGGATCCGTGTGGAATCTGATGAAATTAATTGAGAACCACTTTGAGTTATTATTTATTTTTACATATTAAACCGGCAAAAATACAGATGTTTGGCAGCACACAACGTTGGTGACGGTATGCTTCCTATACTGTCATAGTCTTGCAAGATTAGAAACTACAGGGGCGCCTGGGTGGCTCAGTCGGTTAAGCGTCCGACTTCGGCTGAGGTCGTGATCTCACAGTTTGTGAGTTGGAGCCCCACGTCGGGCTCTGTGCTGACAGCTCAGAGCCTGGAGCTTGCTTTGGATTCTGTGTCTCCCTCTCCCTCTGCCCCTCCCCTGCTTACACTCTGTCTCTCTTTCTCTCTCCCTCTCAAAAAATAGATAATAAAACATTTAAAAAAATTTAAAAAAGAAAGAAACTACTTCTGTATCCCTCATCAGGTAATTGGGTGTATCTGTATTGTGCAGGTATATACAGCCATATGAAAAAAGAGGGGAAAGTATATACTGTTATGGAGAGATCTCCAAAAATATGTATTTATTTATTTGTTTTTGAGTTTGAGAGAGAGTGCACAAGCATGCATGCATGCAAATAGTAGAGGGGCAGAGGGAGGGAGGGAGGGAGGGAGAGAGAGAGAGAGAGAGAGAGAGAGAGAGAATCCCAAGCAGGCTCTGCACTCTCAGTACAGAGCCCAACGTGGGGCTTGAACTCATGAACCGTGAGATCATGACCTAAGCTGAAATCAAGAGTTGTACGCTTAACTGAGCGACCCAGGTGCCCCTAAAAAATATATGTAATTTTAAAAAATGTATTTGGTGTCATTTGCCTTAAAAAAGGACAGGAGGAGCAGAGTATACATAGAGCAGCCATGAAGAGCTACACAGGACACAGTAGCTGTGTCCAAGGTTGGAGCAGGGTGACTAGGAGGCCTTTCCATTCTTCCCATTTGCACCTTTTGAATTCCTTACATGACATGTATTACCTAATAGGGGAAAGGAAATCAACATAGATAAAAATAAAGTGTTCTGATACCAAGGGACAATAGCTGGGTTTGATTTCTACATTGATTGGGATGGTTTATAGATCTAGAAGTATATATTGGTAAGGTTGTTTATTTGAGAGATTGTGCCCAAGAGCAGGGAAGGGGCAGAGAGAGAAACTCAAGCAGGCTCCAGTTGTGAGCATGGAGCCCATTGCAGGGCTCGAACTCGAGAACCATGAGGTCATGACCTGAGCTGAAAAAGAGTTGGACGCATGACCAACTGAGCCACCCAGGCGCCCCTTTAAAGAGCAAAACTTGTGGCTGCTGCAGTACCTGCCCAGCGTGCCCAAGGGTTGCTGGCCTGCTCCCAATCAGTCCCTCTCTCCTGCTCTTGTCTCTGCAGAGCTCTGGCTGCCCAGTTGCCAGTCCTGCCACGGTCAGAGGTGACCTTTCTGGCCCCTGTCACACGGCCAGACAAGGTGGTGTGTGTGGGAATGAATTATGTGGACCACTGCAAAGAGCAGAACGTTCCTGTGCCCAAGGAGCCCATCATCTTCAGCAAGTTTGCCAGTTCCATCGTGGGGCCCTACGACGAGGTCATCCTCCCACCCTTGAGCCAGGTCAGTGCTTCCTTCCTCACTGTCCTCCCGAGTCACCGGGGCCCAGCGCATGGGTGCTCAGCACTCAGGATGCCTAAAGAAGCCGCCTGTTGCTTAGTGTATTAAGCAGATACTACTGGGGACTATACAGTGGAAGGCTGGTCTAAGGAGAAAAAGGAATTAACATATCTTTTACTGATTACAAAAATAGTGCACCTTAATTGTAGAAAAATAATAAAATTTAGCATGCATCTTCTAAGAGTAAGCAGTGTCCTGCATGACCATAATAGCCACTATCACCACTAAGAAAATTAACATAATACCCATTATATGGTCCAATTGGGAATATTCCCAATTGCCTCCAAAGAGGATTTCTAATTTGGGTACGGTTTTATTTTTTGTTGAACCAGGGTTAGTCAAAGCCACACATTGTACTTGGCTATGTCTCTTTAGGGCTTTTAATCTAAACCGGGATCCACAGACTTTCTCAGAGGGTCAGTTAGCAAATAATAGACTCTGAATGCTATAGAGTGTCTGTTGCAACAACTCAGCTTTGCCACTGTCAGGGAAAAGCAGCCGTGGCTGATACATAAATGAGTGAATATGGCTGTGTTCCAGGAAAACTTTATAAAAGCAGGCAGGGAACTGGGTCCGGCCTGTGGGCCATAGTTTGGTGATTTCTGATAGCAAACAGTCCTCCTGCCATTTTCTAGCTTTCGTGACACTGATTTTTTGAAGAATCCTGACAAGTTCTCTTAGCATATCCCGCACTCTGGATTTGTCGGTTTCCTCATGATTAGATTTAAATGTTTTTGTCAAGGATTTTACATAGTTCATTTGGACTGCTGTAACAGAATATCACAGACTGGGTGGCTTATAAACAACGAATTTCTCACAGTTCTGGAGGCTGGGAAGTCCAGGATCAAGGTGCTGATACATTTGGTGCTTGGTTCATGGACTGCTGTCTTTTTGCAGTTTCCTCACATGGTAGAAGGGCAAGAATCTCTTTTATAAGGGCACTAACCCTGTTCATGATATGAATGCAGTCTGTACCAACAGATGTGCATCACACCCCATTGAGAGGCCGTTTGATCACTTGGTTTACTTGATGTTCACGATCTCTTCGTTGGAAAGGTGCATTTCACTGTGGTAATTAAGCAGTCTATAGGGTAGTAATTTGAGAACCTGTGACTATTCTTATTGCCACATAGCTTTTCATTCAGGGATCCTCACCTGAATCCATTATTGTATGTATTAGGGGTTAGAAAAAGGTGATTTTTTTGTCATGCCGCCTTCTACTCTTATTAGCTGGCATCCTGTGAAGAAAAGCTGCCTCCCTTTTTATACTCCTGTCCCTAGCAGGGTGTATTTCTGATTTTTATTTTTACCCAGTATGTTGTAATCTATCACTTACATTCTTCTTGATATTCAAATGCTCTCAATTTGGCCAGTGGGGGGCTCCAAGTTGGCCCCATCCCTGTCACTTTTTGAGTATTTCCCTTGCTTTCTGGCCAAGATATTCCAGGCTTATCTTGTATTCTGTCTCAGACCTGGAATTTGCCATTTCCCCTAAGAAACCTAGTTCTGTCTAGTGGGAAGCAATCCTAGAGACCAAGATCAGGTGTCGGGGTGCTCAGATCAACTGGTTGTTACCATTAGAACGAGCAACCAGTTTGAAAGGTTAAGTTGTATCTGTTTTATAGTTGTACTTTGCAGATTATGGGAAAGGCTGAGCATGTTTTCCTTTTTCTGTGGCCATGCCCATTTCTTTTCATTTAAATGAGTTAATACCTGAAAGCATATAGAATGCTATTGGCGTGCAGTAGGGCTAGCTGTTATTACTTGGTATTCACCCTTTTTTGAAGGCATCAAGTCACTTGTAAATTCAGTGTCCAGACTCCTCTTGCCTTCTGCAGTCACAGCGGAGAGCTGTGCCTGCATGGAGTGGTATTACCTGCCAGTGCTCGAGGATCATGGGTCTACAAGCCACACTTCCCCCTCCTTCACTACATCTGGCTCATGGTGAACACCTATGTGGGCCCACAGCCACTCCCCACTGTTAGAGACCCAGGGCCTGAGGCAGGGTGGTGCATACCCCTCAGCATGGGAATGGAGCCAGGCAGCCCACTGCTTCTTTCTTTACAGAAGGTGGACTGGGAGGTGGAGCTGGCTGTGATCATTGGAAGGAAAGGCAAGCACATCAAGGTACGGTGGAAGAGGAGTTGCCAGTGGTCTGTGGCATTGGGAAATGGTTGACAACTACCTGCTCCCAGCCTTATTCCTTGCCCATCTTTGGCTAGTTCTGGCTACTAACATGGGATAAAGGTTTGGTCATGGGGGTTGGTGTTACCGTGATGATCTAACTTCCAATCTGGCCAAATCCCCTGTCCCCTAAAGGCCACAGATGCCATGGCTCACGTAGCCGGCTTCACTGTGGCTCATGATGTAAGTGCTCGTGACTGGCAAATGGGACGCAATGGAAAGCAGTGGCTGCTGGGAAAAACCTTTGACACCTTCTGCCCCCTGGGCCCTGCCTTGGTGACCAAGGACAGTATAGCAGGTAGGTCTTGAGATAACCCATGTGGTGACTCTTCCTGCTCTTGCATGGATGCATCAGAGTAAATGAAAAGCAGCACTCAGGAAGTTGGGAGGATGGAGTTGCCTTTTGCTGACTCCTTAGAGAGCAAGTCAGCCTAGGCCACGAGTTTCACAGGCATCCTTCACGTCCCTCACTGCAGAGGTATGACTTCCTCTAGCTGCCACTATCCAGGAGCATCTTTAAGTTGGAAAGAACCAAAAGTTAGGTATTGAGCATCAGAAAGTGGCTGTCAAAAGCCTGTACACCTTTTCCACAGTAAGGAAGATCAGGACCTCTGCAGCCAGTGTTAACAGGGCAGCACCGGTTATAAGCAGCAAGGGCAGAGTGAACAAGAGGAAAGCCCGTGATTAGGAGGGCAGACAGCCATCTAGGTGGGGGTGTGTCCATGCGGTCCAGCTTTACACCACCTGATGTAGCCAGCCATCAGTGAAGTGAAACTGTTCCAGCTGCTCTAAGGAGCATGAGTGTATACGGCAAAAAATAAAAGTGCTTATTAGGGCACTAGTACAGGTAAGTTGTCCCCTGCCGTCAGATGCAGGAGACTTCAGTGCCCCTGCCTATACAGATACCAAGTCACTTCCGTATCTGCAGCTGTCAGCCTCTGCTGTGGACAGATGGCCATTTAAGGCAAAAACAGCCATTTTTTCTCCCCCAACTGAGGGTCTGGGACAGGCCCTCCTAAACTCACCCAGGCAGATACTCTGCTAGGTGGTAGACGCAAGACCAGCAGACAGGCCTTTCATTTGGGAAGTCATAAAGTCTCCCTCTGTATTTGCTTTGAGTAAAGGAAGGGGTTTGAGAGAAAACAAGAACCCCAACATGGTGCTTTTGCATTTTTCAGATCCACACAACTTAAAGATCTGCTGCCGGGTGAACGGGGAAGTGGTCCAGAGCAGCAACACCAACCAGATGGTGTTTAAGACAGAAGAGCTGATAGCCTGGGTCTCCCAGTAAGTGGGATGGGGCCCTACCTCACACACCCACCTGAGGTTGAGCTGAGCCTTCCAGTCTTGGCAGTGGCCATCTCAGCCCCTGGTCTCACCTGTCCCATTTGCCCCAGGTTCGTGACTCTTTACCCAGGGGATGTCATCCTGACTGGGACGCCCCCAGGTGTTGGTGTATTCAGGAAACCTCCAGTCTTTCTCAAGGTAGGTTGACTGAAAGGAGGAAAGGGCACACACACCCAGAATCCCTGGCAGCCTTGAGAAATCCAGGCCTCGGAGACCAAAGGACTGATGTCCTCATGGCCTGCTGTTGCAGAAGGGTGATGAAGTTCAGTGTGAAATCGAAGAACTAGGCGTCATCATCAACAAGGTGGTGTGATGGGTCTTACCACAAGCCCTGGACTTAAGAGGTGGGAGCATCCACTGCCGTCCATCACAGGGAGCAGCCCAGTCCCAGCTGTTTCAAGCTGCCTCTTCTGGGTGGAGGGAGAGGGATGGAGCCCTCCTCATCAATAAAATTCTCAGCCCAAAGCAGCAGCTTGGCCTCTGCTATAGTTTATCGTCTTTTAGGGCTTCAGGGAACAAGATAGAGCATTCTTACAGGGAAGGAGAAGATACCCCAAAAAAGACACTGGCCTTGGGAAAAGTCCAGTCCCCTCACTTAACACACCAAAGGATGGAGAATGCAAGAGAGTCGACAAGGGACAATGAAACAAGAAAAGGTTTTATATACAGTTCGGGTAAGGGTGTACAGCCTCCCTTCCAGTCTTCTGGCTCCAGCGCATGGCTGTGATCTGGGGCTGAGAATCTCAGCAGGCACTCCATCCCACAGTTCTAGCTACAAATGAACTGCCGGATGAACTGTTCCAGCTTCTCCTGATTTTCCCAGCTGGTGAACGCAGGGGACAGGTAGAGCATGGGGCCTGCAGGGCTGGGCGTCTGCTGCAGCACCTGGACCATAGAGAAGGGCTGTGAGCACCCAGCCGGGAGGCTGTGCCCATCCCTCGGCAAACTGCCGTGAGACCTGGGGACCACTGGGCCTTAGTGTTTGAGTGCAAGTGCTGCCTCTTAAGTCCCCCAGGGGTAGGAGAGTGGTTTAGGAGACCAAGAAGGCCAGGAAAACCATCCTACCTTCTCCAACTACTGTCACCATACCCATTCTTCCCAGAGCAACTCTCTCAGGGTGTAGGGGTGGGAGGCAGGAGGATGGTAAAACTGGCCCCTCTTACCCCCAGGTCTCTGAAGGTCCAAATAGCACTGATGGCAAGATTTGGGTCTGCGCACTCTGGAAGGAAGAGAGAAGTAAAGGCTATAGGGAGTGGCAGGGAACCACTGGGAATAGGCTTGTGTTAAGAAGGAACTAACCAAAAAGATAGGGCTCAGAATAGATGTGAAGACCCTCTCTGTACCCTGCAGCCCTCCTTCCTGGAGTTGGGGTTGTCACTGACCAGCAGGGGGCAGCAGCCACCGGCAAACCCTCCCCTGCCTTCAGGGAGTCTGGGCTGGCCGCTGCAGACTCACCAAAGAACCCTTCCTCCTGGGCAGTGGCCTGCAAGAACTGGAACAGCTGCTCAGCGTAGCCCGACTCTGTGGGAGAGAAAAACCTAGGCCTGGGGCCCCTGCACAGCCTCTGCCCTGAGCTCTCCCCCCTCCCTCTGTGGAGAGCCAGGGAAGCATGGGCCTCACCTGTATCAGGCAGCTGTCCCTGGTGGAGGAAGGTGGCAGCCTGTGCAAAGGCCTTGAGCAGCGGGCTAAGCAGGCGGCACAGGAAGAGGAAGAAGTCAGGGCAGCGTGACTGCTGACTGAGCTGGAGGGGGACAGACCAGAATGAGGGCAGCTCCCACTGCCTGCCTGCCCCCTCCTTCCACTGTGGTTTCTCCCAACTTACCCTGAAGAACCGGCCCTCAGCCTCCTCGAAGTCATCACTGTCACTATCAGTAAAGTCTCCACTTGGCTTCCACAGCAGCTTTGCGCTTAAACGCTGCCGCCCTGTGTCACAGGCTGGCCTGGAGCCTGGGGTCTGGGGGCCATGGGAGTTATTGGTCCCTAACAGGTTCAGCCTTAAGCCTCCCACTTCCCCAGACCAAGTACATAGTAGACCAGGCACATGGAGGTGAAACCAGAAAAGGAGACCCAAGGAGCCCAAGAGGACACCCAGGACCACACTAGACCGTGACACCTGCTGAGCCAACTTGCAGGGTGAAAGGAAGTGAGCACTGACTCAAGAACCATAGTTCTGTGGACAAGAAAGCTGGGTATGTACAGGAGTGCAGTGCACACAGAACCTCAGAGGTACAGCTGTCCAGTCCTGTCATGATAGGGAAGATGTGGCAAATCCAGGGCAAAGAAGAGCAGAGGCGGGACCCAAGCCTCCCTGTCTGCCAGGCCAGGGACATGTCCACCCCCATAGCACACTAGGGCAGAGGAAGAGCCTGGGGCAGCTGTCACTCTGGGGAGTAGGCAGCCAGGCCCCAGTCGGACTTTGTCTCCGCTCCGCCTACCTCCTCGGCAACCAGGAGCCCACACTGGATGAGACGGTCCAGCACTTCCTGACAGTAGCAGTAGGAAGACTGACAGGGCTGAGGAGAAAAAGCACCCATATGGCCTCAAGAGAACCAGGAAATGGGCAGGAGCCTGGCCAGAGCAGGGCCAGAGACCTCCTGCCGTAGGAGGATTTAAGGGGTTGGACTGGGCAGGCATGGGCCCCAGACCTCTTTCGACAACCACGTGGGGGGAGGCTGACGGGACAGGGCTGACCTGTAACAGCAGCAGGTCCTGTGGTAGCAAGTGCAGCAGCAGCAGGATCTGGCGGTACAGCTCGTTCTGGCTCAGCAGCTCGATGCCCTGTAGCTCCCAGGGTCCCTCAGGCGGCACCCTGCCTGCCAACAGTCCCCGGACAGCACAGGCTTGGAGAGGAGAGGGCCGCGAATGAAGAAGGAAGCCACTCCCTCACCCCTACACCCGTCCCACCCAGCCCAGGCCCTGGGGACGCACCACCCACAGCCTCACTCAGGAAGGCAGGCAGCAGCTCAGCACTCAGATGTGCCAGGTGGGTGAGGCCGGGACCCAGCCGAGGAACTACAAGCAAGTCCCCCTGATGGACGCGGAGGAGGGTCACATGTGCCTGTAGCAGGCTCAGCGTGTGCTGCACAAGGCACCGCAACTGCCCTGAGAAGCCCACGTCAAAGCCACGCAGTAGCGTCTCCTCGGTCAGCCAGGAGAACTCCCCCAGGAGCTGTGACAGGAACACACCCTGCGGTGGGGTGGGGGGGGGAAACGGTACAGGAGCCGAGCAGGAGGGCCACACCCCCTCCCCCAGCCCCTACTACTCTGTCCCCTACCTTCTGGTGCTTGAAGAGCAGCAGTGTCGCCATGATGGCCGTGCTCATCACTGCCGAGCTCATCACACTGGCTGGGGCCACGGTGGGAGAGGAGTGGGAATGCTGATCGGGGCCTGAGGCCCAGCAGCCCACTCCTTCCATCACCCAGCGAGTCTTCCTAGTCAAGAACCCTCCTCCCCCAACCCGTAGCAGCAGCCACACACCCCCCACACAACTCCACCACAGGCAAGGGGAGAGAAGGCCTGGTCCCTGAGTGCCACCCTTTCCTGTGGAGAGCCAACATTTATCAAATACATGCTGAGAGCTCAGGGACCATCCCTGCCTCACAAGCCTACTCAACCCATAGTCTTCACCACAGAGAAGGCGCTCAAGAAAGGTAGTAAAGAGAATTCGGTTAACCTAGTATCTGCTTTAGAGGGTGCTCTTAAGTCCCTTATATGTGTAACTCTGTGCAGCTGACATCACCCTCATTTACAGCTAAGGTAAAGTGAGGAGCCCAAGGCAGGGCCAGGTATGGCCTTGGGTACGTGGCTCATCCAGGCATCTGCCCCCTGCACAGTGCATCCTCCATGGCTTAGCCGGCCTGTGTGCACTCCTTTAGTGGCTCCCTCCTGTTCTCCCTGGCTGCCCTGGCTCCCCAGAGCCAAGAAAGCTTCCACTCCTCTTCACACGTCCCAAGTGGGCCACACAGGAGTGGGCATCAGGTGCAGAAACCCGTTTGGAATGGAGGGTCCCAATGACTGGCTGAACCAGTAGAGACACTACTCAGGAGCCTCCCCTGAAAGGCCCAGATCCCCTCACCATTCAGGACATGACGGCTCAGCCTCCTGACCAGGAGCTGGTCCTCTTCCTTGAGCGCCAGAAGGGGCCCAGTTGCTGGAGTCCACTCCTGCTCCTTCTCCGTGTCTGGGACAGTAGTGCTGGGATAGAGACACAGATCACAGGATAAAGGGACCAAACCTAAAAACAGTTGTGGGGAAACCAACCTTCCTCAAAGGTAAGGATATTTCCCCATCCCCACTCCCAAGGCAAGAGGTGGCCCATGTAACTCTAGCCCCTTCCAGGCCTATCTGCCATGTCCCGCAGTCAGGTTATAGGCAAGGAGGGAGGCCTGGGACTGTTCTAGATGACCCATGGATAAATGGCGAGGGAAGGCTGGAGGAAACGGTGATGTGTTTGTGGGTATGGGGGAAAGGGGTGCCAGCTTACAAGCTGGATTGACAGGGCCACCAGCCTTGCCCCTGAGACCCACACATGCCCATGCCCCTACCATTGGCCCAGCACGATGGGCTGCAGCAGCTGCTCCAGGGTCTGCCTGCTGCCCCAGCAGCTTCTAGCGTTGATGGTGTATTCCTGCCCAGGACAAGGCTCTTAGGTGGCCTACCCTGGCCCACCAGGAAACCTGCACATAGCCCACCTGAGGCAGGCAAGGCTATCCCTGCAGAGGGCTTTGAGGGCCAGGCTGCCAGAAGCCACGGGACAGACCCCAGGTACTCCCAGCCTTACCCAACAGGCTGCAAACCTGTAGGGAGAAGGGCTGGGCCAGGTGAACACGGACACAGACTGGGCGGCTGCGGCCCCAGCCTCGCAGGATCCGCAGGACAGCCAGAGCTCCTGTCCACAACCCCAGTGGGGCCGAGGCCTGCAGGGAGGGAGGGGTTGAGTGAACAAATTTCCTGGGGTCACTGTTTTCTGCTCTGCTTTATCTTGGGCCCAAACTGGTACATGACCATGACCTCTTCAAGCTTATTTTCTCAACCATGAAACAGGAGAAATCCCTCTAACTGGGTCTTGTGAGGATGAAATGACTCAGTAACTATAAGGGCCTTGGCAAGTGCCACAGGATGATGATTGAAGAAGTCCTTTGAATTCTCCCCTTAACCCTAGCCCTAAAGGGAACTGGCCACAGGACACAATAATGTGTATCTTCTCATGGGGTACCTGGGTGGTTTAGTCGGTTAAGTATTCGACTTCGGTTCAGGTCATGATCCCATAGCTCATGGGTTCGAGCCCTGCATCAGGCTCTGTGCTGACCGCT